TTAAAATAATTTGCGAATTTTCGTTTAAAATTGAAACACAGTGCACTTTTATTTTATAATTTTATTAGTTGAACTAGCATTATTAATATCTGTAAGAACTTAAATTAGTGTTTTGTTTTTGTAACATGACAGTCGAGTTGTATTAAAAAAATTGAGCATTGGAACAACAAAACATTATACATTTAGATACTAGCTACTCAGTAGCTTATATACAATTTATATCAGTTACTTTTAATTCTTTTACTTTATTCAACTCAAAATAAAATTCATAAAACCTTATGTTTGTTTAGGTATCTGAAGTGACTTTAGGTATTTAATTAAAGTAAAAATGATTAAATTATTATAAAAGATCATATAAATTACACATAAATCGATTTTTCTACTTTCTTGTAAAGTTGATAAAACTGAGATAGGGTGGTATGGCTTTGGCGACAGCCGATAATGTGTATACTTACCTTTAAAAAAGTCATGTATTATGGAAAATTTCGTAATGAAAATCAAGTAATTTTGGTTTTATTTATTTATTTATTTTTTAACAGAATAGTTCAATAGGTACAGGGTGTCCCGCGAGGATTTACCCATTGCAATATCTCCTGAGCTAATAAATATATCATAATTTTTTTTTTCTTTTCTTAGACTCATATAAACAAGGACTACATGTATTTTAATTTTTAATTTTTGAAAAAAATAAATATTCCTATTTTATTGAGTTTATTTTCTGAAAATGTTGACCTTCCAACATTTTATTTTCATTAATCTCACGAATTTTAATAATTTTTTAATTTATAGATGAATAGGCAAAAAACTGGTTTTTATCCGCATTATGGTCTTCCCCCTCTATGGTTAATGAGGATATCCTCTCGGGACACTCTGTATCACTAAGCACTAGTTGAAGTATTTCTGGAGGCATTTTTAGTGTTTATGAAGTTATTGAGTTAAAGTTCCTTATTATATAGAATCATTTGGTCCAAACTGATGTTTTCATTATTAAAAAGGCGGGTAAGTCGTGGATGTCGCTCTGCTCTACAGTAGGTTACAAGTGGGTTACTGTAATGGATGGAATTAAATTTGAATCCAATGATATTATATCATTGTATACGAAAAACGATTCTGAGCGAA